TTCTTGTAATTAATCTGAAAAACATCCACAAAATGATACCTGCACAAGCGTCCAGAGTCTGCAGTCCAATTCTACAGCTGACCCTCGTTTCCTGCAGTGCTCAGGAATCACTGTCTGCGAGTGACGTATGTCTGGGAAAGGCAACCTGCTAACAGTTGTCCCTAAACTGAGCACAATGGACCCCATAGGACCCAGAAACTGAGTAGACTTTAACATGAATTGGGTTAGGGTTAACGTTAGGATTAGGCTTGGATCCTGAGGATACAATGGGATATATTTGATTTTCTGACTGATTCGGTTTTCTGATCTCTTGGTTAATATTAAGTTGAATCATTCAATGTGAGTTTATATTTGGATTTACCAGAGCTGACAAACTTGCCTTGATACCAGATTTACAAGTAGAGGATTGGGTTTAGGTCAGAGCAGGCTGAGAGGCAGGGCTGGGGCAGGCCTGGCCCATGAGAAATTTCTTCCTCCTGTCAGTGAGCGAGTGTTTTATAGCCTGTAGCACCGAAGTTTTGGATCTCAGTTAAGTTTTTGCTCTCATGGGGCTTTTTTAATGTATAGGGGTTTTAAGTCCACCTTTGGTGTTTTTATTGCTGAGACATCCCATCTTTTTTTGGACTCCTTATATTCTCTTGGCCTTAGCAGTTTGTTGGTAGTGCTAACTGCACATGTGCTGTACACATAGCAGTTACTTCTCAGTGCCAAGCAAAGAAATTGACAAAATGCCACATGTAAAGTGCATATCACAAGTTTATTCTTCTGCACAAACAAATAGAAAGTGACTGTAAATTGGAAAAAAAAAAACACCACAGAAAAGGAAAAAAAGTATTTCCATAAACAAAGATGCCAACTCTGTTCTCTCTCTGGGGTCACATCTTCCACCAGGCAGAACACTTTTGCTGGGCTCCCATTTTCAGAGCACTGACAAGTCTCTTATAGGAAGAGAGACTGGAAGAGAATGCAGGATATTATAGCAGAAAGGGAGCATATTCTTTCTGAGGGACAACCCTCACTTGCATTGTGCTCATGTCTGACAATCAGTGACTCCTCATCATACCAGTCTCTTGCAAGATTCTTCATCTCAGCTGCTGCAGGATCTTGAAGTTCTCTGGGAAGTGTTCCCATCTATTCAGAGGGAAAGGACTGATACTTCTGAAGCAAAGATAACCCCCTAGAATTGCCATAGTGGCAATGTGTAACCTGCAGCATGCTAGAGAGGAGGGATGACAGGCAGTTTTAAATCAGAGCCCATGCAGACATCTTCAAATGCTTAACAAGGGGACACTGGGGTTTGGCCTACCACTGCAGCTTATAATTTAGCAGGTGGGAGCTAAAACGTGTCAAACAACTGTTTATGTCTGTGCTTGTTCAACAGCTGAGGAATAAGAAATTTGGAGAGGCTCAAGACAAGCTTATATAGTCGAAAACTATTCCTCGTAACCTCACCTGTGACCTTGCTAACAGGCCAGCCACAGTATTTTCATGAGCAGACACTAGCAGAGCCGCTTGAAGCCAGTAGTGCAGGTTTCTTCCTTATAGCTTAGCAGATATATCTCAGTATTACTTCTTGTCTCACACTACTTTCAGCCACAGGCCTTATTTGGGATACTTCACAAGCACTGTAGACCTCATCTGCAACACCCTCTGCTTCTGCAGATCCAAGTCCTGTGTCAGCTTAGGATCCAGAAAAGATTGGGAGGGGCTGAGATCCATCAAAACACTTTGGCTTTGCTTCTAAACATGGCTTTGAACCAAGGATGTTAGAAGTGAAATGCAAGATCCCCAGCCTACTGGTTCTTTTCCTTGCTTGATCTTTAATATTCATTCTCCAATCGGACCTAAGTTTTTTTCATCTCTTGCCCATTACTTTATCAGAAATGATGGACCAAATGCAGTTACTCCACTCACGTGGGTCCTGACATCTACCCCTCAACAGTGTTTGGCCATCACTCCTTAGCTTGCATCAGTGTCTCCCAGAAATCTGGAGTGGGACCACTGAAATACTAACCACATGCAAACTTCCTTACATGCTAAGGCCAGACCTCTCTTTTTTCCCATGGCAAAATGAATTTCCCAAGACACTCAGGCCCTCAGAGCACTTTAGGGGCTTGAGGGAAAGGGACACTGGAGTAAGATTCAGACTTTCTGAGGTTATTTCTCCACTGCAGAATTATCTTGAGCACGCTTTCTCTGGTCCACACAACCCCTGTCTACACCTGAGTTCAGTGATACTTTCAACCTGGGCTAGCTCGTCTGTCTAAGGCTAGTGGCTAAAACCACTATCCAATGACAGACAGTACTCCATAAGGAGACTAGAGACAAAGCTTTTAGAGCACTGCTAGTCTTTTAGTTCCTTCCCAGAGCTTTCCTAGTGAAATAGAAGACTCCTCCTTCCATGTTTGGGAAGAATCACAGAGATTCAGCTTGCTACAGCACACAGGATTTTTCTTCCGGAAACGCTGGCAATGCAACGCAGCATAGGATGAGTAAGAAAGTAATCGTTCAAGTTAGGTTTTGAAGCATGGGTGCTCACCTTCACCAGAGCTAAGTGGACTCTGGTGATCTGAATTAACTCTGTAGTGATGACTTGTCCTAAGACCTCCCTTCTGGAGCTTTCCAGGAACATGTACAATCGCCTCATCAGTTGAGACTGCTCCTATGTCATACAACTAGGTGCAGCATCTCTTCTGGCTCAGCCAGTCCTTTGCTCATTAACTCTAGGCATTCCCAAAGGTTTTATCTCCGTCCTTTCCCATGGCTGATAGTCTGCCAAGTGAGGTGTAAGTGCTGTCCTCCTCCCTCCACAGCATGCTCATCCTATATTTCAAGGCTCTCAGGAATGTGCACTGCAAACATAGGCCTGTAGAACAGGTCCAGCCAGAGCATGAAGGATTCAAAGACAGGATTGTGTATTACTTTTCCTTTTTTCTTATTCTCTCCCTCCCAAGCTTGTCTGGGACTAGAGCTGCTAGCTAGCTTCTCCAGTCCTCTTTTTCTTCATGGGAGAGCACACATGCAAAATCTACAGGTGCTCACAGAGAAGCACCTTAGAGCCTCCAAGCAAAGGTAGAGCCCCAAGCTTTCTTGAAAAGAGCTACATATCGTAAGCTCCAGCTGTGCTTGGACTTAGTGTGAAAACACACTAGCTGCACTGCTTAGAAACTTGGCATCAGCCCTATTTGCACTTCTTTTTTCTCCACAGAAACTACAGTTTTGTACATCCAAAATTTGTGCTCAGTCCAGTCAGAAGATGGCTTCTGCTTGAAGGAGAGGAGCAAGTCTAATGAGTTGGAGATATGTCTCAAGCAGGGCTATGAGACCCTCATCCTGCCTCCAGTACTCCTTCCTGAGGGTCTAGCAAAAGGCTGGGAAACCGCTGCCCAGGAAGAGGTGGCAAGCCCCTTCCCTGCAGCTGGGGCATCTGCTGTGTTTGGGAGCCAGTGCTTCAGGAGCAATGCTTTCTTGGTGTACGTGTGGGGTCACACTGTAAATGTGGCTGCTGCAAAAAGGGGAGCACAGATGGAAAGTAAATGGCAAGGGTGTGTGCAAACCAGAGCACAGATGACATGCACGCATACATGCACAGTCCCTACTAATATGCTGAATTCTTCCTCGGGAAAGGGAATGCTTTCTTCTGGTATGACTTCAGTGTAGGGATTAAGTCTGAGGCTAGCCCGGGACATTCAATGAATAACCAGCCTTGTTTCCCCAGCATTGCCAGCAAACTGAGCTCTGTATGTGTGCGTGAGTGCGGATCCTCTGGGACTCTCAGAGCACTTCAGTTCATACCGAATAGACTCCAAGGACACTTAAATCATTTAGCATGAAATTCTACTTGTGACTTTCTGTTTCCCTGTCCTCCACTTCTATACTGAGAGCATCTGTAAAGGGGCTCTGTTTTTCAGTTCATCACAGAGTTTTCAGCAAGTTTTATGTCATGACCCATTTTCAATCTAGCCACAATTCTGTCCTAAACTAAACAAAATGATGCACAAAGGCATATTCAATCCTGCCTCCTTTTAAAGCCAACTGTACCCTCTCCCACGCAATCCTCCTTTGTACTTACAGCATCTGTATCCTGTTCCAGTGAGACTAATGCTGCAGGGCCTTCCTTGCACCAACCAGCCACTGCCTGATCTTAGCTTTGACTTTGTGTATCCTCAAAAGCTGATACTTCCTTCTGCAGTTCCTCCAGCTTGTAATAGCATCGCCAAGTCCATTCAACGCCCCTCTTTGGCAAACTGCTCCCAGACCTGATAGCCAGTTTAGCACCAGCTAGGATGACTGTCCCTTTTGCCACTTGGTGACTAGAGGAACGGGCACACATGGCTGCCCTGCTGCACAGGGGGCACTGCCCATGCATGTATGTGCAAACACCCCCATGCACTCTGCTCTCTTGCCTCCTTTCCCATGCGTCTCCGGAGACGAGTCTGGGAGAAGCATCCCAGGAGAAGCCCCATTTCTACTTTCACTCCCTGCTGAGTGTTGCTGTGTGCATGTGTGTGTGCACACTCAGGTGCGTGTGCACAGACCAACAGGCTCAGAGAAAACCAGTCTAATGGGGAAGCTGGGGCTTCCTGTAATCCTACCAATGACCCTTTCTTCCTAGAAACCTCTTGCCCCAATCTTCTTCCATTCAGGGGTGACTCCAAAGCCCTTGGGAAAGGAAAAGCAGTACTGCCTACACGTCCTCACATGAGACAACCCCTGCCATTCAACCCCTCCAGAGGTGGGTTTTGCTGCTGCATGCAAGTTCTCAGTCTCTGTGTACCCATGCATGTGCCCTCTCCACATTCTTCCTTCTGCTGCAGCCATGAAGCTGCCCGTCTGAGACCAAGGGGAGGCTGGGGGAGAGGGTGGTGCAGAAGGGGAGTAATTTTTTTTCTCTCTTTTCTTCGTTTTGTGTCACTCATCCCAATGTACTGAGCTGACATGAAAGACAAAACAAGCACTATCTCCGTGGGGCCATGAGTGGGATGGGAGGGGTGCCTGCCTCAGTGGTGGCCAAAGCTCGGCCGCCACACATTGGCCTGCATCCCTGTTCTCGCTGCCGAGAACTTAGGCCTAGCCACCTGAAACCGAGGGGCCGAGGCTGGGTTTGGGGAAGGACCCTGGCCCACCTGACCAGGCTCTGGGGAGCTCTGGTACGGCTTAGGGGACTGGCTGAGCTCCACCTGGAAGGGGGCCGGTGTAGTGGGGGCAGAAGAGGCCATTTCTGTTCTCCACACTGGCTCGTCCAACGTGGTGGCTGAGCGGGGCACAAGCACGGTGGGTGCCAGGCTGCTCGAGGCTGGCATAGGAGCTGGAGTGGAGAAGCGACGGATCTCCTGGGTCTTGACTGTTTTCACAGGGACCTGCTTGGCTGCCGTGAAGGACGAGCTAGCCTGTGGGGCTGGCTGACCAGGAGACTCCTGAATGCTGGGGTTTGGAGGATCCCCAAAACAGAACATGGCTGACTTCAATTGATAGGGCTGGTGGCGCATTAAATCAATGACCTTGATCCCTGATTTCTGGCCAGGTGCCTTTTTCACTTTGCTCTCTGCTTTGCTGGCCTGAGATTTGCTGGCTGCCAGGGGATAGAAAGGGGAATGCATTGGGTTGTAAGCTATTGGAGGGGGAGCCCGGATGTTGGGTGAATATTTCCAGGACGAGGGTAGAGAAGGGGAAGGAGAGGGGGTCCTGGGCTTGGACTCTGGCTTCCGTGTTGTTTCCACCACAAATTTGTCCATGCGGCTCTGACGTTTGGCAAAGAGTTCTGCCCCCTTGCCTTTAAGCTGAGGCATGTCCTGGATCCCATTTACCAGTCCAGTGTCTTGCTGCTGAGGCTTAGGAGCCACTGGAGGTGGGGTCTTGAACTTGCGGCCAGAGGACTGCATGAAGTTGCAGGCTTCAGCACCCAAGCTGAGGAAGTCCTCCTCAGGCCCAGACTCAAAGCCTGTCCCAGGGTGGTCACCTTTCGGCTTCTCATCCAGGTTCTGCACCAGAGACAGGAGCTCAGGGTTGGGTGAATTCTTCTTCTTCTCCTCAATCTTACTGAACATGGGTTTCTTGTTGCCCCGCCGGCGAGCCTCCTGTAGGATGCCTGTGCGGGGAGCAGGCACGGCAATCCTCTGCTCCCTGGAGGTTAAGGGCTCAGAAGGAGGTCGTGGCGTTGCTGGTGAGATGGCAGGAGAAGGCTGCTTTGGCACGGGGGAACTGCTTATCGAGTGCTGTGATGGTGCTGGACTAATATACAAAGAAGAAGAAGCTGTTCCAGGGACACGTGGCTGGGATGCTGTGGAGGCCACCTCCCCTCCTGGCTTTGAGGGAGTTGACAGAAAGATAGAGGTGGTGGATGTCCGGGCAGTGTTGACAGAAGGCTTCGTCTCTGGAGCACATCCTCCCTCTTTTGGCTGTGACTGCAGTGGTGGTGTTGGCCTTCCTGGTGCAGGAATATAGAGAGATGTGGAGGAGCTGACTTGACCACGATGTGTTGGCATTGGTGCATTGGCAGGTGTTTCTGGAGCCAGAGGTGAGAAAGGGGGAACCACCGTGCTTTGCCCACCCAGACTTTCACTAGTTTTTTTGGGTGCAGATGGCCTGAAGATGACAGAGGATGTTACTGGGCGTTGGTCAGAAAAGCCAGGAGTAAAGGGCCGTGCAGACCTGTTGAACATACTCGTTGAACTTGCAGAGAAAGGATCAGGGGTGCTTGGGGGAGGCAGGAAGAAAGTGGGGCTAGGAGGAGCCAGAATCTGAGTGGAGAGGGTGGCTGGCTGCTTGCTGGGCACTTGCATGCCTTCCAGGTGGATGCTGAGGGGCACAGTGTCTGCCTTCTGTGGCACAGGCATATCTCCGTTCACTGTGCCCTGCTGCGGCTGGGCAGCGGGGGCAAGCTGGGGGCTCTTCTGTGCCGGGACTTTCTCAATTGTGTACTTTCCAGCCCGTTCCCTCTGCTGCTCAAATAATCGTGCTCCTTTACCTGAGACCTCACTCAAACCTTTTTGCTTCTCTTCCTTCTGTTCAGAGTCAGACTTGGACTTTTCAATGTCCAGGTAAGTGTTGTCCCAGTCTGAGTGATTAGTTAGGCTTCGGGCATCAGAAAAACCTTCCTCATCAAATTCAGACTCACTAGTTGGAAAAACTCCGTCTTCTTCCTCGTAAGAGCGGTCTTCGTCGACACTCCCAAAGCTTACCAGTGTATACTTCTTAGCCCTCTGCCTGCGCTTCTTGAACATCAGCACCCCCTTGGAGTGGGGGTTGGGTGCATCTGTCAGCAGGGAAGCAATGGTTCTGCACTTGGTTTTGGCTTCTTTCACGTTCTTCTCTTGGATGCTCTCGTGGCGGTGGAGCTCTGCAGGAGGCAAAAAGAGGCAAGCTCAGAGCTCAGCAAAAGGCTGAGTGGGCAAAGATGGACAGTGATATGGCTGCAGGTATTCTAGTGCCCATAGGAGGAAACACACTGTCACCCCTTGCCCTTCTTTTTCTTTTCTACCAGGTGCGGTTTTTTTTCTGCAAACACAATAGAAGTCCATGCAGATGTGGGAAGGGATCTGCCCCCACAGATCTGACGACCAGTCTCTGTTTCCTGGTCATACCCGGGATTTCCTATTTCTGCAGCATGTGGCCAAGAGTCACAAGCTGTATCTCACAGAGTTTTTACAGTGCATACCCTTGTTGCTGAGAATTTTTACCATTTATTTATCACCCTGAAGGTGGAGCTCTGCTTTTTGTAGACCTTCCTCCAACCATATGGAGGAGTTTGGGAAGCAGCCGCTGCCACTGTTAGCACTCATGCACGTGTGCAACGGGAGAGGTGCTCTGCAGGCACAGCTGGGCTGCTCCTGCTCTGAGCCCTGCAGTGCCAGCTGCAGAGTCAGTGTGTCTTGCAGCAGCATGGTGTGTAGGGCTGTATGCTGCTCTCTGCAGCAGCCCTGCAACAGCAGGAGGCATGTTTTCACTCTTGCTGTCGTCCCTTGCCTGTGCCTTGTGCCCAGCAAAGAAGAGCATTTGCTCCTGAGCAAGAATCCCAGACCCTCACAACTGATCTGCCAGGCCACAAGAAATCTACTTAGACAGGCTTGCTTGGAAAAGCCAACACCTGTTCAGACACTGGCATGAAAGTGTGGGATAATCATTTTCCACGTGCTCTGCCAGCCCAGCGGTCAGTAAAGCCCCAGGGAGGAACACTGTGTTCTCTACCTTGCATGCAGGGAAAGCAGGGGGCGAATAAGATTCAATAGTAAAACCAAACTCAGCTGCCCTAAGGAAAGCGTGGACATGCCTTGAATCAGTGTTCAAGTAACGGAAATCAGCACTAACCTTGCACAGAAAAAAAACCACCTAAACCATAGACTAATTTCTGATTTCTTTCATTTCAGACTTTTCCTTACTCCCATTGTCTTTTTCCCAGCATGATAGTACAGGTGAAACATCCATCTACTGCCTGCATCTAATAATTTGTCAAAAAACTGTGTAGCACCTTGTCCAGCCCTGACATTCTCAAGACAGAGGTACAACATTATAATTTCACTGTTTTTTTTCCAAGAAGAAGTTCTTGCTGATCAGTGAAATGAAAATGTCTTATGTACTTCCATGCTGTTTCTTTTGAGCCTTACATTTTTTCTGCTTTGTTTTGTTTTGGTTTTAATATTTATTTTTCCAAAAGAACTTTTGTTTGCATTTGCTCCCTTAGCCCCTTGAGAATTAGCAAAAGACCCTCTGTGCTGAAGGGAAGAGGAGAGGAGAGGAGAGGAGAGGAGAGGAGAGGAGAGCTGCAGGCAGTGCTGGGGGATGGTGTTAGCTCAAGAGAGGACGGAAGCAGCTCAGTCCTCTCAGGTTCTCACCTCTGGCCATTTTACCACAGAGCATTCATTCAATGGGGACCTGCTAATGTGGCAGTTACCTGCAGTGGGGGACTGGGAGCTTAGCTAAGAAGGATACTAGTTTTTCTGAGGGCTGCAGTTTTCCTCCAAAACCTGGCTAGGCTGCACAATTGTGGCAAGTGTCATTATTCCATATTGCACCAGTGTAACCACGGCAGAGAGAGCTTCCCTCTCTTACCCCATGCTGAAAATAAGGTGTTGATTCACAGAGCAATCATCCCTCCAGGAAGCTTAAGACAGATATAAGGAGAGATTCTTCTTAAGGTTTGCAGCCATTCCATAGCACATGCTGCTGCTTTGGGATTTCAACAAGGGAACTTTTGCAGTTTGAGATCGCCTCACATGGATGCACAGTCCCTTTCTCCCCTTTGCACCCAGAAGACTGGAAATAGCAAAATCAACGCTGAAAAAATGGCTCACTATTTGTACTTGCACTTGCAAAATGAAGGCTGTCTGCAAAACTTTCCTTACTGAATGACTCCGCCTTGCTGAACCAAGACTAAAGTAATGTCCAGGTTTTTGTGCAGACTTAGTGCTCTCCAGGGCAGTTGTAAACTTGCCCTGAAGACCTGCTCCCCATTATGGAAACAAGCTACAAGCCCTGAAGGTCTGTCCACTCCACTTACAAATCTGCACACATGTGTCTCTGGGGCTTGTTCACAATGGAGGAAATAAGAGAGATTTCTTTCTTGCTACAAGCATCCTTGCTACAAGCTACTACACCTCACCTGGCTTGTATTTTGCTTCTAAATTTACATGGAGGAAGACCAGCACTAGAGAATCTTAGTCAAGTGCAGGATATGTAAACTCTGGACCCTGAGTGACTCACAGGAGGATTTCTGGAATTGGGAGCTAACAGCTAGGAAGCTACACCGTCCAAAGTGAGTGTCTGTGCAGCCCATTCTGACAGCAGGGTACTATGAAAGTGCTCAACTCTAGAGTCTGGGCTAGCAAATACTGTCAGAGAAAATATAACAGTAGAGTCTTGGCTATGCCTCCACCAACTCTTGGTCCTGGCTCAGCATTAGCATCCATGTACAACTTCCCTAGGAAGTTGCTCTGAACTGCCCTGTGCTCTGAAGCAGCTGACAAGTAAGGAAGGCCCTCTGGGACCTGCTACTCTTCTCTTCTTCCTACTTTCCTCCTCATCAAAGGCTAAAGTACATAACTAAATATGACAATCCTCTCAACAGAAAAATGGTTATGCTATCCAAGCTACAATCTCCCACAACAGTTTAAGAAAAAAGAGAAAGAGAAATCTTCCTGAGATGACGTTGAATGTAAAGAGCAAGAGTGAAATCAGAATAGGCAAAAGAATAGGGGAGGGAGAGGAGAAGAAAAAGGACAGGAAAGGAAAAGGGGAAGAAAGAGGAGAGAAGAGAAGAGAAGAGAAGAGAAGAGAAGAGAAGAGAAGAGAAGAGAAGAGAAGAAAAGAAAAGAAAAGAAAAGAAAAGAAAAGAAAAGAAAAGAAAAGAAAAGAAAAGAAAAGAAAAGAAAAGAGAAAAGAAAAGAGAAAAGAAAAGAAAAGAAAAAAGAAAA